AAATGTATATATACTTACAAATAGGTGAGAGTTCCACGTATTCTATTTGTTTATTTACTAAAATATTTTGGTTGTTATCAAGCATTTCTTTTTGATAATCAGGCTTTGAGAACTCGACATAAGTTTCAATGTTTAGAGCACTTCTTTCATCTGAATTTATCGTTTGATTGATAGGTACTAAAAAAAATAAAGAAATAGCATAACATATTTACTTTTACATGCATACACATATTTAGAATATATACATATACACATATTGGTAAGTATACAGAACGTGCTTACAAAATGTTATACAATAGAAGAATCTGTTTTACACACAAATTCTTTTACTGGCGATGAGTATACTTATACTGTAATATTTTTATAAGTGCGTTCTGAATACTAACCATTATGTAGAATACAAACAGTAAATGTAATCATACCACAAGACGAAGACTTTTCAATGTTTCTTTCATAATTATGGCTTTTAGTACAAATAATAGTCCTGTTGTTAATTGCACTCATATCACAGGTTGTCGTTGCATTAGTAATATTATCTAAAAATGTAACAAGAGAATACTATTTACAGTTAAGTTATAATAATTAATAGTTACAGAAATACTTGTAATGAATGCATACTTACCACTAGATGGAGTTACATCAGCAAGTTTCTTAAGATTACATTGCTTCTTAGAGTTATCAGTCTCTTTAAATGCACTTGTATAATCACAATTAATTGTTTCGTTAATATCGTCTGAAAAAAGTAGAAAATTTCATTATAACATTTACTGAATTCAATAAATGAGGAATTTTTGTAAATAAGTCAATATATAGATCTTACTTACCATTAAAAGAAAACACAAGAATATCTTTCTGGCAATCAATCTCTGAGGAGTCGATACAAGTTTCAAAGTTTAAAACACCTCCTTCATCCAAATTTATTATTTTATTAATATCTAAAATTATAAAAAATAGCATAACATATTAACTTCTTATACACACACATTTTGAAATATTATAAACCTATACATATTGATTGCTATTCAGAAAGTGCTTACAAAATGTTAGTACAATTGATATCCAATAGAAGAATCTGGTTTAAATAATACAGATCCTCCATTGGAAAACAAAATGTTAGTCTCTTTAAGTGCATTTTGAATACTAATCATTATGCGAAATATAATATAATAATAAACATAACCATACCACAAGACTTCTCAATGTTTTTCTCATAATCATAGCTTTCTTTACAGTTAGCAGTCGCATTGTTAGTTGTACTCATGTAACAGGTTGTCCCATTGTTAGTTGCATTCATATCACAGGTTGTCGTTGCATTAATAGCATTATCTAAATTTGTAAAAAGAGATTGATATTAACAATTAAAATATAATAATTTATAGGAATATTTATAATGAATGCATATTTACCATAAGATACAGATACATCGGTAAATTTGTTAAGATTACACTGTTTCTTAGAATTATCAGTCGTTCTAGTTGCACTTGGATCATCACAATTAATCGATTTATTACTACTTGCTAAACAAATTGTAGCGGAAAATTACTTATACACATAAGAATTATACGAATCTATATTCAAGTGATAAAAAGTCGTGATTAAAAGTAGATACAGCATACTTACCATATGGTAGATATTCAATGTTTTTTTCTGGGTTAATATCTCTAGTCTTATACTTCTTTCTTGGGTTTATTGTTACATTAGGTACATTTGTATTAATATTTTTAACTATTGTTTCTAATAGTCTTTTATCATCTATAGAAATACAAAACATGGTTAAAATATAATTAAAACCATTTGTAGTTGTAATAATTGTTTTTATGTGATATATTTTAGTATATATATTTTAATGTACACATATATAAAGACACATGTGTATGGATGCGTGTGTGTGTTGTGCATGTGCGTATGTATGTGTTTAGGTATTTTTTTGATCTTGATATGAGAAGTATCTATTAGGAAAAATTATTTAATTCAGATATAAAATTTCAATTAAAAAAAAATATGTGTAACATATTTTGTTTACATTGATATATTATTTGGCAAAGGATAAATTTTTTACTTATTATTGCGTATGTGTATATTCATATAATATATAACATATGATATAACATATTTATATTATATATATAATATAAATAACATATTCGATTCCCGATTCTGCGACTTTCGGATCTATATTTTTCTCTCGCACTTTATTTCTTTAGGGGGAATAGGGGATACATGGAATTAAAAATCTCTTGTAGAGATTATTCCAATTTTATATCTTGGCCGTGTCCAAGTAAAAATTTGGTGCCTTGTGCACAGGTATTTAATTCTAACGAAAAAATTTAGTTTCGTTTAGAATAACGCACTGTCATCCGCGATTTGGCTCTTATTGCCTATCTTATATATGTTAAATTTATATTTATATATTACAGAGCCTAGTTAAACTCTTAATTTATACACGCTGGCTTAAAGGCGTTTATTTACCAACATTAATATATATAACAGAGAAAAGTATAGAATCGAAAGGATCTGAATAGCTCAGTTGGAAGAGCAGTCGCCCGGCAAGCGAAAGGTCTCGGGTTCGATTCCCGATTCTGCGACTTTCGGATCTATATTTTTCTCTCGCACTTTATTTCTTTAGGGGGAATAGGGGATACATGGAATTAAAAATCTCTTGTAGAGATTATTCCAATTTTATATCTTGGCCGTGTCCAAGTAAAAATTTGGTGCCTTGTGCACAGGTATTTAATTCTAACGAAAAAATTTAGTTTCGTTTAGAATAACGCACTGTCATCCGCGATTTGGCTCTTATTGCCTATCTTATATATGTTAAATTTATATTTATATATTACAGAGCCTAGTTAAACTCTTAATTTATACACGCTGGCTTAAAGGCGTTTATTTACCAACATTAATATATATAACAGAGAAAAGTATAGAATCGAAAGGATCTGAATAGCTCAGTTGGAAGAGCAGTCGCCCGGCAAGCGAAAGGTCTCGGGTTCGATTCCCGATTTCTGCGACTTTCGGATCTATATTTTTCTCTCGCACTTTATTATCTTTAGGGGGAATAGGGATACATGGAATGAAGAAAATCACATAGTACGGGAATCAACGTGTGGGACAGAGACCTAGTTTACATCGAGTACTTGATACGCGTATTAAATAGTAAATAACTAGTAAATTGATTCAATTATTGGCTGATCAGCTCAAATGTACTATTTGATACGCGTATTAAGTGCTCGATGTAAAATAGACCAGGGTATCGATTCTGTAACTTTTTCTAAAGTGAAAATGTGAAAAGTGAAAAATTTCCGCCAATCACGCATTGATTTTAAAATGAAATTGATGTGCAATTGGCGGAAATTTTTTACTTTTCACGTTTTCACTTTAAAAAAAGTTACAGAATCGATACTCTGAGGATGGGTGATTCGACCAGCCAATCAGAGCTTTTTCGCATTTTTCTAAGAACGTTGATTGGGCATGTCGGATGACTTATTTGTTTAAATCGCTTAGTAATAAAAGCATTATCTGATCGAGAGGCGGTGTCATGCAGCGAGCGGCGAGCAATGTAGCGGCGCCGAAAAGTAAGATGATACTTTTGATACTAAGCGACAGCCAAATACAAAAGTAAAGAAGTGTTTTGATTGGTCTAAACTCGTGATGCGCGGCCTGACGCGCTCAGTGGAAATTCAGCCGCACTCTCATACAAAAAGCGCCATGCTTACTTTCACGCGACATTACATGGAAATATTAAAGTCGTTCTACATTAGTTGCAAATGGAGTCGCAAATCGCAAAAAATTAACCAATCACAATTGAAATTCAAGAAAATAATCGACTATGGTTGGCTAATTTTTTGCGATTTGCGACTCCATTTGCAACTAATGTAGAACGACCTTAATGTCACATGTTGCATTCGTTATTCTCGCTTTCATATAGAAAGTATCGTTCTTTCTTTTGCTCGTTAAACATAAATAATATACAAGGGCCCGTAGTCTGTTCTTATATTTAAGATCGTCTTAAGACCTCGTTCAACCAATTAAATGGCCGCTTAGCATCTCTTGACTGGTTGAACGAGGTCTTAAGACGATCTCAAATATAAGAACGGACTATGAATACGGGCCAATAAAGCGGGGAGCACAAACTTTTGCATAGGCGCATAAGCGTAAACATATAGCGGGGAGCACACACTTTTGCATAGGCGCATAAGCGTAAGCATAAGAATCTTGATTGGTCTATAAACGTATGCATAGGAAATTGAACCAATCGAATTTCTTAATCCGGGTCTACATTGGTCGTAGAATCGTAGATTGTAAGAAAATTGATCCAATCACAGTTGAATGTGAGAAGAATAATCGACTCTGATTGGATCAATTTTCTTACGATCTATGATTCTACGACCAATGTAGACTTAGCTTTATGCATATGCTTATGCGCTTATGCAAGAATGTGTGCTTCCCGCTTAAAGCTTACATATCGCCATAATGCTTCCATGCAATGTCGCGCAAAAGTAAACATATTTACCTTATATTCAAAATGGTCACAAAAACTAAATTCATAAAAGTTTAGAAGTGATTTATGTGTTTATTTAATTCTGCTGAATTTCTACTGCTCTAAAACTTGTAAACGAAAACTTAAGCTGGTTATTGAACGGTTAGTTGATCAATTAATCGTTGAAATTTTTTTTTCATTTATTTCAATGAAATATTCAATGTATATTTTGTGTGATGTACTGTGTTTTTCTCTCGTGCCTTTAACAATGCCTGTTAATAAATTGTGCATACCAGTAACACCTTTCGGGCACGTACGATATTCATTGCATATTCTGAAATATTATTTATTTATCATTGTCGACGTACTATTAAAAAAAATGTAATCTGCCTATTACATGGACTATAGCGAAATAAATAAGAAAAAATTTAGCATTTTTATCACTATAATGAATCTTTATTGTTTATAAATTTTCTAAATAACTTGCATTTTATAGTAAATAAAAACACTAGTACATCTACTTTTAAAATTATGAAATCTACATTAATTCGGTAAAAATATGTTTTAATGGTACATTGTGATTATGGCGATAGTATGTACATACTGATACATGTATATAGCATATGAAGTCTGAGTGTCCAAATGCATTATTCATATATGTCAATTAATATACATATTTATTTATGAAATTCTGCGCATAGAAGTTATTTTTCATTTCTTTACATCTCATAGTGAGTTTGAATAACTATTTACAGGTATATATATATTTTTAAAATAGATATTTGTTACATACGTAAATAAAAAATCGATAAATTTTCTAGAAAATGCAAAGAGAGATGCAGATCTTTAAAGTGATATGTTCAACGACAAATATTGTAAGCTCATTTCAGAGCTTAGCAAAATATGTTTATGCGCTTTTTTCTTCCATTTTTAGGTGAATCACAAACATACAATTATTTCTTTAAATACATATTTTTTACATTATTAAATAAATATCTATATAATTTCACCTTAGGATAAGTTTCAGTTGAGAAACTGGCCAGCGATGTGTGTTGTAACTTACATTCAAACTACATTGTACAGGAACTTTTTCCTTTTTATATTTATGGTGAGTCTAAAAATAGATATATTTATTTATAAAATGCATATTTTTTACATTGATAAGTAAAAATTTATATTATATAGTTTTTGTCATATAGGTTATATGAAGAAATTGTATCTATGAATGATGAAATCAAAAAGTAACTCTTTGTTCATAGTACACACAAACCAAGACTGTAATAGAAATCAGGAAATTTTAATGGTCCTATACCTATAATGCTGAAAATTAATCTTCTATCTGTTCTAATTAACCACCTGTCATAAAAACTCTAACTTTTGCATTTTATACAATGGTGAGTACATACAATTTATTAAAACAGATTTAAGTAAAATCTGTTTTAATAAATTGTATGTACTCACCATTGTATAAAATGCAAAAGTTAGAGTTTTTATGACAGGTGGTTAATTAGAACAGATAGAAGATTAATTTTCAGCATTATAGGTATAGGACCATTAAAATTTCCTGATTTCTATTACAGTCTTGGTTTGTGTGTACTATGAACAAAGAGTTACTTTTTGATTTCATCATTCATAGATACAATTTCTTCATATAACCTATATGACAAAAACTATATAATATAAATTTTTACTTATCAATGTAAAAAATATGCATTTTATAAATAAATATATCTATTTTTAGACTCACCATAAATATAAAAAGGAAAAAGTTCCTGTACAATGTAGTTTGAATGTAAGTTACAACACACATCGCTGGCCAGTTTCTCAACTGAAACTTATCCTAAGGTGAAATTATATAGATATTTATTTAATAATGTAAAAAATATGTATTTAAAGAAATAATTGTATGTTTGTGATTCACCTAAAAATGGAAGAAAAAAGCGCATAAACATATTTTGCTAAGCTCTGAAATGAGCTTACAATATTTGTCGTTGAACATATCACTTTAAAGATCTGCATCTCTCTTTGCATTTTCTAGAAAATTTATCGATTTTTTATTTACGTATGTAACAAATATCTATTTTAAAAATATATATATACCTGTAAATAGTTATTCAAACTCACTATGAGATGTAAAGAAATGAAAAATAACTTCTATGCGCAGAATTTCATAAATAAATATGTATATTAATTGACATATATGAATAATGCATTTGGACACTCAGACTTCATATGCTATATACATGTATCAGTATGTACATACTATCGCCATAATCACAATGTACCATTAAAACATATTTTTACCGAATTAATGTAGATTTCATAATTTTAAAAGTAGATGTACTAGTGTTTTTATTTACTATAAAATGCAAGTTATTTAGAAAATTTATAAACAATAAAGATTCATTATAGTGATAAAAATGCTAAATTTTTTCTTATTTATTTCGCTATAGTCCATGTAATAGGCAGATTACATTTTTTTTAATAGTACGTCGACAATGATAAATAAATAATATTTCAGAATATGCAATGAATATCGTACGTGCCCGAAAGGTGTTACTGGTATGCACAATTTATTAACAGGCATTGTTAAAGGCACGAGAGAAAAACACAGTACATCACACAAAATATACATTGAATATTTCATTGAAATAAATGAAAAAAAATTTCAACGATTAATTGATCAACTAACCGTTCAATAACCAGCTTAAGTTTTCGTTTACAAGTTTTAGAGCAGTAGAAATTCAGCAGAATTAAATAAACACATAAATCACTTCTAAACTTTTATGAATTTAGTTTTTGTGACCATTTTGAATATAAGGTAAATATGTTTACTTTTGCGCGACATTGCATGGAAGCATTATGGCGATATGTAAGCTTTAAGCGGGAAGCACACATTCTTGCATAAGCGCATAAGCATATGCATAAAGCTAAGTCTACATTGGTCGTAGAATCATAGATCGTAAGAAAATTGATCCAATCAGAGTCGATTATTCTTCTCACATTCAACTGTGATTGGATCAATTTTCTTACAATCTACGATTCTACGACCAATGTAGACCCGGATTAAGAAATTCGATTGGTTCAATTTCCTATGCATACGTTTATAGACCAATCAAGATTCTTATGCTTACGCTTATGCGCCTATGCAAAAGTGTGTGCTCCCCGCTATATGTTTACGCTTATGCGCCTATGCAAAAGTTTGTGCTCCCCGCTTTATTGGCCCGTATTCATAGTCCGTTCTTATATTTGAGATCGTCTTAAGACCTCGTTCAACCAGTCAAGAGATGCTAAGCGGCCATTTGATTGGTTGAACGAGGTCTTAAGACGATCTTAAATATAAGAACAGACTACGGGCCCTTGTATATTATTTATGTTTAACGAGCAAAAGAAAGAACGATACTTTCTATATGAAAGCGAGAATAACGAATGCAACATGTGACATTAAGGTCGTTCTACATTAGTTGCAAATGGAGTCGCAAATCGCAAAAAATTAGCCAACCATAGTCGATTATTTTCTTGAATTTCAATTGTGATTGGTTAATTTTTTGCGATTTGCGACTCCATTTGCAACTAATGTAGAACGACTTTAATATTTCCATGTAATGTCGCGTGAAAGTAAGCATGGCGCTTTTTGTATGAGAGTGCGGCTGAATTTCCACTGAGCGCGTCAGGCCGCGCATCACGAGTTTAGACCAATCAAAACACTTCTTTACTTTTGTATTTGGCTGTCGCTTAGTATCAAAAGTATCATCTTACTTTTCGGCGCCGCTACATTGCTCGCCGCTCGCTGCATGACACCGCCTCTCGATCAGATAATGCTTTTATTACTAAGCGATTTAAACAAATAAGTCATCCGACATGCCCAATCAACGTTCTTAGAAAAATGCGGAAAAGCTCTGATTGGCTGGTCGAATCACCCATCCTCAGAGTATCGATTCTGTAACTTTTTTTAAAGTGAAAACGTGAAAAGTAAAAAATTTCCGCCAATTGCACATCAATTTCATTTTAAAATCAATGCGTGATTGGCGGAAATTTTTCACTTTTCACATTTTCACTTTAGAAAAAGTTACAGAATCGATACCCTGGTCTATTTTACATCGAGCACTTAATACGCGTATCAAATAGTACATTTGAGCTGATCAGCCAATAATTGAATCAATTTACTAGTTATTTACTATTTAATACGCGTATCAAGTACTCGATGTAAACTAGGTCTCTGTCCCACACGTTGATTCCCGTACTATGTGATTTTCTTCTTATGAACGTTTCCGCGTTTGTTATCGTACCATTACGCATTACGCAGACGCAGTGAAATATCTCAAGCTACCGTTACATTACATTAAGATTTGAATAATGTTAACATTTAACTTTCCTTTGTGCTAAAGTATTTTAATGTGTAAAAAAAGATGTATGCGCTTGTGAAATTTTACGATGATGTGCATTATGTGTGCACCCAAAAATGTATTTTTCCTACTAAAAGTCGCGACATAAAAGTAAAATACAGCGATGGATATAGGTATTCCGCAACGATCATTGCAAAAAACAGTAAGAAAAACAATTATATCTACTAAAATGCTTTTCTTTTATATTACGTATTGTATATTTATCTCAGAGAGCACAAAAAGACCAAAAAATTTCTTAAAGATGTCTAAAAGGTAATAAAACATTTTTAGACATTTTTTGGACAGATGTGCTCTTTGTATGTATATATAAATATGTTATTTATATTATATATATAATATAAATATGTTATATCATATGTTATATATTATATGAATATACACATACGCAATAATAAGTAAAAAATTTATCCTTTGCCAAATAATATATCAATGTAAACAAAATATGTTACACATATTTTTTTTTAATTGAAATTTTATATCTGAATTAAATAATTTTTCCTAATAGATACTTCTCATATCAAGATCAAAAAAATACCTAAACACATACATACGCACATGCACAACACACACATGCATCCATACACATGTGTCTTTATATATGTGTACATTAAAATATATATACTAAAATATATCACATAAAAACAATTATTACAACTACAAATGGTTTTAATTATATTTTAACCATGTTTTGTATTTCTATAGATGATAAAAGACTATTAGAAACAATAGTTAAAAATATTAATACAAATGTACCTAATGTAACAATAAACCCAAGAAAGAAGTATAAGACTAGAGATATTAACCCAGAAAAAAACATTGAATATCTACCATATGGTAAGTATGCTGTATCTACTTTTAATCACGACTTTTTATCACTTGAATATAGATTCGTATAATTCTTATGTGTATAAGTAATTTTCCGCTACAATTTGTTTAGCAAGTAGTAATAAATCGATTAATTGTGATGATCCAAGTGCAACTAGAACGACTGATAATTCTAAGAAACAGTGTAATCTTAACAAATTTACCGATGTATCTGTATCTTATGGTAAATATGCATTCATTATAAATATTCCTATAAATTATTATATTTTAATTGTTAATATCAATCTCTTTTTACAAATTTAGATAATGCTATTAATGCAACGACAACCTGTGATATGAATGCAACTAACAATGGGACAACCTGTTACATGAGTACAACTAACAATGCGACTGCTAACTGTAAAGAAAGCTATGATTATGAGAAAAACATTGAGAAGTCTTGTGGTATGGTTATGTTTATTATTATATTATATTTCGCATAATGATTAGTATTCAAAATGCACTTAAAGAGACTAACATTTTGTTTTCCAATGGAGGATCTGTATTATTTAAACCAGATTCTTCTATTGGATATCAATTGTACTAACATTTTGTAAGCACTTTCTGAATAGCAATCAATATGTATAGGTTTATAATATTTCAAAATGTGTGTGTATAAGAAGTTAATATGTTATGCTATTTTTTATAATTTTAGATATTAATAAAATAATAAATTTGGATGAAGGAGGTGTTTTAAACTTTGAAACTTGTATCGACTCCTCAGAGATTGATTGCCAGAAAGATATTCTTGTGTTTTCTTTTAATGGTAAGTAAGATCTATATATTGACTTATTTACAAAAATTCCTCATTTATTGAATTCAGTAAATGTTATAATGAAATTTTCTACTTTTTTCAGACGATATTAACGAAACAATTAATTGTGATTATACAAGTGCATTTAAAGAGACTGATAACTCTAAGAAGCAATGTAATCTTAAGAAACTTGCTGATGTAACTCCATCTAGTGGTAAGTATGCATTCATTACAAGTATTTCTGTAACTATTAATTATTATAACTTAACTGTAAATAGTATTCTCTTGTTACATTTTTAGATAATATTACTAATGCAACGACAACCTGTGATATGAGTGCAATTAACAACAGGACTATTATTTGTACTAAAAGCCA